TCTGATGTGCAAGTTCCTTTTTCTGGAAACTGCTTCAGTGGTTCACAACCTTTGCCAAGAATCATCATTCCCACATCTCTTTATGGATGTGAAATGTGGGTGACCCATTATTTATACCTTAAGTGCTTTGAGAAGTACTATCATTTATGCTTTCATACAGTCTTTCATGTCAGCTGGGAAGATTGTTGCACAAACATCAATGCCCTCACTGAAGCAAATATTACTGGCATTGAGTCAGTGGTCCTCAAACACCAACCTCTCTGGTTTGGGCATTGTATGCAGATGCCTCATTTCTACCTCCCAAAACATTCTGTGTTATTAATTCAGCCATTGCGATAGACCTCAAGATGGCCAGAGAAACTGCATTAAAGACATTCTGAAGACTTACCTCAAGAAAATAGATATTGACATCAATAGCTGGGAAGAGCTGTTCATTGACTGAGACCAATGGCACTGCAACATCAACCTAGAAGCAACTCATTTTGAAGCAAAACATCATGCAAACAAAGCAGAAAAGAAAGAGCGGAGGAACAAAAAGGAAAGAATTCTAGGCTTACAGGCTACCCTCTCCAGCAAAATTAGTTGCAAGTTTTTTGGATGCATCTGTTGCACAAGAATCGGACTTCTCAGCCACCTCGAATTTCTTCAATGAGACATGTTAAAGATCATTCTTGAACCAAAGGATTGCCAACATATGAACAATTCCTTGCTTCACACTTAAAACAACTGACTTGTTGGAAGGCAACTTGATGTTGACAGCCTGTAAACTACATATTAGTAACTCGAGGCCAACTTTTATAGCGTAGGATGTATTCATAATGGTGTGAAAATTTCAGAATGTGAGCATGGGCTTATCATATCACAACAAATCATTTAGGACAACTGTACTCACCTAATAAATTTTGTCCATGACTGAGGTCAGTGGTACAACCCATTCCCAGCAAACCTTGAACACTGACTGGTTATTCATCATATGCTTTAGCAGCATCAACATCTTAACTTGACCATTTCTGGTTTCCTTTTAGTATTCATTAAGTTTTTACTGGCGAGTTCATTCCAGATATCAATTATAATTTGTTCATATTCTGCTTGTCTCTGCATCTCATTTTATGCAAATATCTTGTGTAAATTATATTGAATGTCAGTTGTTCATGCCAAAATAAATGTTCAGTATGCTTAAGTACATGCCTTCCCAGCAGAAAGTATGGTATTCTACTAGTGTCAACTACCAACAGAATTTGTTAATTTTGGACATCTATTGCTCCAGTCATGGTTTTTTCTTATATTGTCATTCTGTAATTGGCAGTGCTCTTCCTGTAGCCTTGCAGGATGAAATACACTCAAGTAATGCTACAGCAATGAACTTAGTGCAAGTTATCTTTTGATGCAACTGCTTCAGAAACACCAGATCAACTTTTCTTAGAATCATTGAACATTATATTCAATGCCCCAATGTGTGACTGTAAAATTCTTATTGCCTAAAACTTGGAAATAAATGAATCATGGGAATAATTTATTTTAGGGCATGTGACAAAGTATAAATCCTGTCTGATGTATAATTCAGAGTGACCTCATTTTGACAGCTACCACATTCATGTTTACATGACGAAAAGTGTTTATATTGACAAAATGGCAAGATTCTCTTCATTTTGTTCTATCAATCTGTGGTTAAGTATTTGAACATAACTCTCAAAATATGGACACAAGTTTTGGAGCATGTGCATTTTGGAATACATGGATAAAAATGTTAGCACTACCACTGTTTTTTTTCTGTATCTTCTTGCTTATCTTAATTTTTAGCTTCTGCAGTACAGTGAGCAGTTAGTGTACTTATGTGAACATCCCACTTAATGTGCTTTTTACCGAGTCTTGTTTTAACATTTTTGGTATTACTGACATTTTGGCACCTAATATCCTTTTAGTGTCTAGCTTGTTTTGTGATACACTGCAACCAGTTTTCAAGTCTGCAACCCATTTGTGAGCAGTTTTCACATATCAGGAAAACTTCTGTTCCTTTTGTAGGAGCTGTTTGTTGATGGCAAGATGCAATTGAAACTGAAGGACCTGCAATAGTTTCTGAAGCTTTGGCTGACAGTAGTGCTGATTCATCAGATGTTGATGCCATTTTTCAAGTTTGTTCAACTGTAATGAAGAAAAGGAAAATAAAGTGAATAAAAATAAAATTGTGGCTATTGTTTTTCTAATTAATTTTTTCTTGAGAAAAGAGGGGTAATAGATGATCTTGTTGAAATTAACAAAGTTATTATTGAGCAAAGATCTCCGCTTTCTTTGTGCTACATACTGAGAACAAGAGGACACAAGTTTAAGATCTGGAAAACACAGGCTAGGCTCCATTTAAAGCAGTTTTATTTTTTATGTAATGAGTTGCCCTTGGCAGTAGTGGAGGATGGCACATTACACGAGATTAAGAGGGGGATTTATGATTACCTGAGAAATAAAGAGAAATGAAGATTAGGTGTGCAAAAATATCATTGAAAAGCCAAATGATCCCATGTTGTCTTCATACATTATGTAAACTGAGTATCAGGCCATAATGTCATAACTTATGGTAGCATATATCCTTTAAATAGTGTTATCTAGGTTTTGGCCTTTTAATCAGAAAAAACATATTATACTATACTTTTTGTAAGGAAATATATTGAAATAAGTACAAAGACATATTCTGGCACATGTTAAGTAACATTACCACTGTGGCTAACTTGCATATTATAAAAAAAAAAGAAATACAAAAGAAATGTAGTATGTTCCTGATAACCTCTATAAGCATGACTGAATGCTCCAGAAAATGGGTCCAGACATTGATGGGATATGAAGAATTAGTCCGAACTAAGGAGAGCTCTGAAAAATAATTCAAGGTCAAACTATAGCCCTTATGAGTATGTCCTAAGTAGGACTACAGTGACTCATTAATAGTAATTAAATAAAAACCAAACCTTTTTTGTCAACTTTACCATAGTACACATTATAGATACACTAATAATGCATATTTATGCCAATTGTGAAGTCTATAGCATCAATAGATCTGAAGTTATGAGTTAAAAACCACTATGAGAATGTCAATTGCCAGATTTTGAGAAAAACATGTTTGAAAATTAGGCAAAAAATTGTCACTTTAAATGTCTTTATCTAGTTTAAAAAGGGTATATCACATCCTGCAAATTGTGAAACTTACACCCTTAATATGTTTCTGGACATTAACTCTCTCAACACGGGCTCGGTCTATTTGAACGACCACGTGGCCTCTTTGTACTCGTTCAAAGTACTTATGGATTTGATACTACTAACTTTTAATATAATGTGGATATCTTCATGAAATTTGGCATTCTTTCATTAAACATTATAAGGCTTTCACATATAAAAAATCTTATTTTTTAGTGAAATATTTTTAATAAATTAAAAACAGATTTGTCCTTCAATATATTGAGTGTTGGTTTTGAATAGACCATGTGCAAAGTGATTTTCATGTTAAAATTAAAAATACTTTTCTTTGTCTCAAAAATATCAAATTTCATTTGTGTAATCACTAAAACCTCTTAAATACATTTCAAATATTTGTTTTCAGTAAAACTTTATATTTTATCTGTAATTTTTTCTATCTTAACTCTATAAAAGGTTGGTCAATTTGACTGACCTCGTAACCACCAAAAAAATTGAAATAAATCTAAATTACCATCTTTTTCTTTCTATAATGACTTTATATGTAGTGTGCAACTACCTTTGTTTATCCCAAATACAGTATACATCTATTTATAATTAAATTTTATTGTTTTATTACCCTTTGAACTGTGTCTAACTGTTATTTGCATCATTTTAAGTTGTAAATCACTTGGAGAATGTGCAGCTCACGTTATGCTATCAAATTACATTACCCACGAGCTGCTCGTGTGCACTCCTTGTCAAATATTTTTATTATATTATTATTATTGTCTATTTTACCTAATCTAACCTTAAGTAACCTAAAGAGATCCCAATTTTTACATTTTAGTAACTTTTATAATAATAAGTAAAGTACTTACCCAATATTCTTTTTTTGTTGCTGTCTATTGTCGATGACACTTAACCCTACTTTTTTGTACTAATGGTAGTAATGCACTAAATAATTTTTATTTAATTAAATAATGCACCAAAGAACATGGACTAATAACATACAAAAAGTAGACAATTTCCCATAACTATCAAAAAATGTTCTGGCTTTCTAACTATGCAACAAGAGCTGTTACAAATTCTTCTAAGTTATTTTTTAATTTTCCTATGGGAATGAATCATGTATTATAAGTGCAACTGACAATGTTACACTTTCTATTGGTTATAGGTAGTATAAAATTAAACATAAGAGAGAACTATAAGCGTATCCTGAAAGAGAGGACGTGAAAGGAGGGTGTGGCACGAGGTGTCTGATTTTCTATTTGATAGCTTTGTAACCAAAGAAAATTGAAAGATATAAAAATTATAGTTTGTCTGATTAATGACGATTTTATAGTGAATAATTGATGTTTAATTTTGTACGTTTGGGGGGGGGGGTGGATAAAATAGAGAAGAGAAGATACCTAGAGAAAATGTGTTGTGTGTCACACTAGGGGAAATTCAAGATTTTTTAAAAATATTGCCTTATAGAATTAAGAACTTAAAACTTGTATACTATTAAAATATGAATTATTGGCTAAGATTTTATGCTATACTAATTGGTATAACATAAACAAAAAGTAGTTTAATAAAATTTTAATGTAAGACACAAAAACCTTGTGTCATGCACAGTAAAGGATACCTATGGCGATAGGATTAAAGGGTATATGCTACCTTAAGCTTAGCAATTACAACTTTTAAGTTATACATTTAAAAAGTTATTCTTTAGATAATTTTATGTGTAAATGCTGTACATTTGTGTGCTATGAATAGCTACTAAAACATGCCATTTGCTGAAACTTCTGTTAGGTGATACAGTATATCTAAAATGTTGTGTTATTATGTATTATAAACAGCTACTGAAAACAGGCCGTCTGGGAGCACTTCTGTTAGAAGAAGATAGGGCACGATCAACTACTGACCCTGATGATGAAGAAGATGAAGATCAGTATGGTAGAAAGTCTAATGTGAGTCTTCTTGATCAACATAATGAATTGAAAAAGAAAGCAGAAGGTATGTTTTTCCTTAAGCACACATTTTGGAGATTTAATTGATATAATTAATTATCTATTAGCAGAGATGACATTGATTAGTGTTTTCATTTATTACTGCTTTTAATTATTACAACAATTGATTAATCAAAATTACAGTTAAATCATCTATTATGGAAATAATCAACTTATCAAAATTATTATTTTTGATTATTACTAGTTACAATTATTTCTGTTTTGTATATTTATTGTTAAGCACAAAGCTACATAACAGACTGTCTGTGCTCTGCCTAGTTTTAGCCTTTTTTTACTGCTGACCAGAGGAAATAAAACTGTGTGGCAACATCCTTCCTCCAACATTTTTTGTTGTTGTGTTTTTACTTCTTGCTCAATTAGCAAAGACCACTAATCGCCAAGTTGTTTTAGATGTCATGGTATGTATATAAGTGAGAATTAACTATCTAATTATTTTGTATATATATTTTTTAATTATGAATAGGTAAAATATTTCTTGTATAAACAAAAGCTCTTGTAACATATTTTTAACAATTTTTGTAAAACACTTCCCATTTTCTTCAATAAATATATCTTCTGGTAACTTTTCTGATACTTATTGTTCTTTGATATTCTAGCTCGTAAGGAAAGTGCTCTTGAAAAACAATTAAAAGAGGAGGAAAAAATTTTGGAAAGTGTTGCTGAAAAGAAAGGTAGTTTATTCAAACTCTACTTACATCCAAAAAGTCTGTAACAGATTACATTTATATATTTTTGCATTTATCAAGAACAATGGACTTTTTGGATTTCCTTTCATTTAGTAGTTCATTGACAGATTTGTGTGTGTGTATCTATAAAAGATGGTTGCATATGTCTTTTGATTACTGGTATCTAACTGGAAATTTGTATGCTTAGTACAGCTAGAGGCATTTTAACATTATCATGGAAGTATTGGTGTCTGACAAGCACACATACTTTAAGATCCTTATATTGATGTATAAAGAGTATTAGACTCTTTGCTTCACATTCAGATGTGAACTTAATTTTAATCTAAATTTATTTCTTATCAGTGTTTTTCTTAATATCTATTAACCCTATTGGCACGGGTATCCTTTACTGCACATGACACAAGGTTTTAGTGTCGTACATTCCAAATTTTATGAAACTACTTTTTTTTTTTCTTGTCCTCGATTGTCAATGAGAGTTAAGCCTGATTTTTTTTAGTGATTATAGTAAAGCACTTAACAATTTTTATTTAATTAAATAATACACCAAAGAATATAGACTAATAACATGCAAAAAGTAGACAAATTCACTTACTTCTAAAAATTTTCCTGGCTTTCTAACTATGCAACAAAAGCCGTTACAAATTCATCCAAGCTAGTCGTTAACTTTCCCATGGGAACAATGTTGCTACTCAAATTGACATTGACGGTTATCTGTTCAAAACACAATGTTATACAATACGCCATTTGATAGATGAAAACCTTGACTTTCTATTGGTTATAAATAATATATAATGAAACGTAAGAGAGAACTATCAACCAATTGTGAAAGTGAGGATGTGACAGGTGGGTGTGGCAGGAGAGGTCTGATTTTCTCTTGGATAGCTCTGTAACAAAACAAAATTGAAGGCCATAAAAATTATGGTCTGTTTGAGTAATAATGATTTTAAAGAGAGCATTTCACTTTTAATTTCGTACATTTTCGAGGGGTGATGGATAAAATAGGGATGATGACATGCTAAGACAAAATTTGTCATGTGTGTTACACTAGTGGAAATTCAGGATTTTTTTATACATTTCCTTTTAGAATTAAGAACTTAAAACTTGTATACTATTAAAATATGGATTATGAGCTAAGATTTTATGCTATTCTAATTGGTATAACAAAAACATGCATTTCAAACGTTTTTTTTTTCACTAATTCCTTGTAGCTATTTTCTCTACCCTAATCTCAAAACAGGATCGGTCAATTCGACCGACCTCGTAACCATAAAAAAAATTGAAATGAACCTAAATTAACCTTCTTTTCTTTCTAGTATGACTTCAAATTTTAACATGAAACTACATTCGTTTATCCTAAGTAGCTCTAAGTTTGTAACATTATATATCTATTTATAATTAAATTTTATTGTTTTATTGCCCACTGAACCATGTGTAACTGCTATACACGCCATTATAAGTTGTAAATCACTCGGGGAACATGCAGCTCACATTATGCTATTGAATTACATTACCCACGAACTGCTCGCATGCGTGCTTCGTGAACAGTTTTAATTATATTATTTTGATTACTTATTTTACCTATTCTAGTCTTAAGTAACTTAAAAAGATCCGTACTTTTAATTTTAGTTACTTTATAATAATAAATAAAGAATAAATATGAAAAACAAGAAATAAAGTACTTACCCAATCTTCTTAGGAGGTTTTTAGGGATTACACAAAGGAAATTTGAGATTTTTGAGATGGGAAAGTATTTGTAATTTTAACATGAAAATTACTTTGCACACAGATTATTCAAAACAAATACTCAATATATTCATGGATAAAACTTTATTTTATTAAAAGTACTTCACTAAGAAATATGACTTTTTGTATGTGAAAGACTTGTAATATTAACTGAAAGACTGTCGAATTTCGTGAAGATATACCCAATATATAGAAAGTTACAAGTATTAAATTTATGACAACTTTAAACGAGTACAGAAGGTCACGTGACTCGGTCAAATTGACCGACTCCATGTCGAAAGATTTAAAAAAAAATGGCTGCAAGTAAAAAAACTAGCTAGGCTCATAAATGGCGTAAAAGACAAAATTAAAAAAAAGCATTATACAAATAAAAATGTAAATTGACTGCTATAATGGGAGATTTGGAGAATTATAGAAGATCACGAGTGGTCAAATGGAAAATTAGTAAATTCAAAAAACTACAAAAAAAAAAAAAAAAGGTTGGCTGAAAACATACAATAGTAAGGATTTCTTTAAATCCATTAAGGGTAAGCTAATTGTTAGGATGAGAGTAGGTTCTTTTGGGGGTGATACAGGAAGGCTAATATCTGATGATTATGGGATGGCTGTATTATTAAATTCTACTTTTGTTTAATTTTTATTATAAAAGATTTAAGCAACATATTTAATCCTGAACAGTTGCTAGTTGGAAAGATGACTGAACAAGATGATCACATTAATACTGAGCTTGGTTGTTTAAACAATGATAAAGCTACTTGGCAGATAATATTTCTTCAGGGGTCTTGAAGGAGATCAAAAATTGGACAATTGTTACTATTTTGTTTTCTTAGTCCTTGAATAGTGGGCAGGTGCCTGAAGATTGGAAGTTGGCTAATGTTACTCCTGTTCTCAAGGGAGGTTATCAAAATTGTCTCAGTAATTATAGGCCTACTACTATTAGTCTTAATACCAGTGGTGAGAAAAGTGTTTTGAAAGCCATTTATCAAAGTATAAAATTTTGTTGTATACTCAGCATGATTTGACGAGGGGAAAATCTTGTCTTACTAATCTTTTGACGTTCTTTGAAGAGGTTAATGCTTACATATACGAAGGTACAAGTATGGAATTAGTGTATCTGAATTTTTAGAAAGCATTTGACAAGATACTACATAAAAGTCTTGTTAAAAAGTTATATCTATATTTGTGGAAGATAGGTTGATTCATTGGATGGAAAATTGGCTGGATGAAAGAAAGCAGCAGGTTGTTATAAATGGAGTTCAGTCAAGCTGGATCAATATTAGGGCTCAGTATTAGAACATTAGCTCTTTTTTATTTAATCCAATGACATGGATGAAGGAATGATCAATAAATTATTTAAATTTGCTGGGTCTTGCTGGCTGTGAGGAGGATGTTGATGCTTTATAAAAGGATTTTGATTAGTCAAGTGGTGAGTTGGGTGAATAAATAGCAGATGGCTTTTAATCATAACAAATGCAAGGTAATGAAAATAGGATACTACAGTTTTGATGGGAATAACCTTTCCAGTTATGGAAGAAAAAGATTTTGGTGATGTGGTTAATCAGTCTCTTGAGCCATTAAAGCAATGTGCTGTTGTTAGTGATAGGGAAAATAAGTTGGATCAACAGAAATACTGAATACAAGACTAAATATATTATAATGTTATTGTGCAGGTCACTGGTTAGGCCACAACTGGAGAACTGTGTTTAGTCTTGGGTTTCTTACCTTAAAAAAAGAACACCGATTCATTGGAGAGGGTTCAGAGGAGGGATACCAGGATGATACTTAGGATGGAAAGATTTCCTACAAGAATAGGTTAAAATCTCTAAAACAGTTAGATGGGATCTGACTGAGGTGTCTAAGATTTTTAAGGGAACTGATAGTGTTGATACACCATCCTTTTGTAATTAATAGTGGTAGGGTAGGAGTCATTTTCAGCTAAGACTATTATTTTTCAAACAGGATGGTTAGCTTTTGGAATGGTTGGAAAGAGTTCCATATGGCACCCCCACCTAAAAATTGTAGAATTGCCTGGATAAAAAAAGATTCTGAAAAGGGTTTATTTTAAGGGGCATATTAGAAAAAATTAGGGGCGATGGCTTTGAC